CTCTCTCTCTCTCTCTCTCTCTCTCTCTCTCTCTCTCTCTCTCTCTCTCTCTCTCTCTCTCTCTCTCTCTCTCTCTCTCTCTCTCTCTCCCCCTCTGAGCATATGTTTACATGTACATGTCAATGCATAAATAATTCATTAAGTGCCAAACCAAAACCCAGCCTTAATTAATAATATCACCTAATAAATAATAATCACCTAAAAAGCACATGGTCAAGCACATGTCAAGTTTATAGTAGTGATGGGCGGTACCAGATTTTTTCATTTCGGTTCGATACCGAGTACTTCACCTGAGAGTATTGATGGTACCGAGTACGGTTCCGATTACCTGTAGTATCTAGCATGGAATAGCCACACGTAGCCATTTTAAATTAATTACTCAAAATTTTATGACTAATAATTAGCTGATTATTAGTGATTATTACTAGTTATAATAGTTAATTAATGCTTATTGGGTGTGGCTTCCGGAACCGAAACTTCGGTCGGTATTACTTCAGGATTCGGTGCCAGCAAATCAAGCACCAGAACCGTGGAACCGGATACTTTGGAACCGATACCGCCCATCACTAGTTTATAGTGCCAGGAGAAAAGAAACCAATACCTTCCAGTATGTAGTGGTAAGCTCAGTTGTGTTAGATAATAAGCATAGGCCCTGTATATCTAGTGTCAGCACACATGTAACTGTACAAGCCATATTGGTAACAACAGCTTTTTAAGGCAGGCAGGGAGGTGAGAGTTTGGCCATTAAAAACGTTTTAACCCCCAGTTCCAGTTCTCAAGACTGGACTGCCTAGCCTGCTGTTCACCACGGCTTCATGCTAACACAGTAATTGTAAAAGTTTGTTTATTCTTATGTTTAATCTATATAATTGCTTGCGTAAAGACACATGGGGTTGCACTAGAGTGATACCAGGTGAGCTGAGAATGGAATACTAAAGTAGTAAGGGCTTCTCTACACTGTTGCATGGCATGATAATTGATTTTCTGAGCCTCGAACGGAGGGATGAGGGGTGTGTGTGGTGTTAGGGGGGTAGCCAGGAAAGAAGTCTAGGCGGGTAGACAGACTAGGAGCATCAACCGACTGTGGCCAACACTCTGACGTCTGACTATCGACAAGAGTTGGGCGTAGTGTCCTCTCTTAAATTAAATGTCATAATATTAAATCTCTCAATTCCCGAAAAAGGCGGTAGGAAGAGGTAGATTGAGTTCTCCTCCGGCATACCTCGACTTATTTCCTGGTGATTAGGCTCTGGCCTATGTTCTGGGGGGTGCTCAGGGGTTAAGCCTGACAGCGGGGAACACCAACCCTTAGAGTCTAGGACCACTCCTGAGTTACTCTAAGTCGTTGAAGGGCCTAAGGCCTATTGTCGTAGCACTACCTATGTGGGTGTAAAAGTCCTTTGACCAGGCCTTTCCATTGCACGGATGACCTATTTCCCGAAGCATTGCTATCGTTCCTCATCCTGATGTTCACTTTTTCCCTTTCGGTAGATGTCTACTGGAGAACCATATTTACAATAAGCATAAAAACATGCATTCACATTAAATACAATAGAATCAACATTGTCTCGTACAACTCAGTCCACATTGCAGCTAGTTCGCTCACCCCACTGTGCTGTCTTTTTAAGTCATTTCATTATATCCTCAATATTATCACATGCACGTCTAATTTCATTCTAACTTACAATGTCACATACATGTATGGTCTTTATCGTAATTACCACAAACATACAAAATTAGCTGAAAGCATAGATATGCACAGTACACACATACATATACATATATAACCCAATACAAAGCATGAATAATGAGTAACACAGCATATCATTTATACAGGTAATATTGAGCTTGAAATTAAAAATTTAGAACAGCTTATTTCATACCAAAAAAGCATTCGAAAGTATCGGAATGTACCCGAGAAGTACCAACCCAGATCGCTACTGATGGCCACAGACCCATGTCATAAGGATCGTAACGATGCCTTTCTGAAAGAATACTCTTTGATTTTCTTCAGGTATTTGGTAGCCACAATTAGGGCTAATACCATCACGCTTGAAACAAAAAGGGCAAAGCTTCAGGCAGCCCAGACTCATGCTGAGACTAATCATCATCAGCCGTTACCCCATGCCGA